CTCTTTTTTATGTTGTTTTGCCTAAAAATGCCAAATGTTTATAAGTTAAGAACAGCAGCTATTTTTGTTTGCAGTAATGCTTATGATTTTTGTGGCATGATACCTTTTTGGTGCTAACTCAGAAAGATAGTTTTATGCGGTAGGCGAACAGAAACATACGAAATCAGAAGGTGATGCTCAACACTAGAAGAATTACTCGAAGCTGCCAAAACTTTGGTAGGCAGTTCTAGCAAGAGAATCACTGGTAATCATCTCATGAAACGAGCCATCAAAATAGTCCTGTTTTCCTGAGAGATACTTAAGCAGCAAGCTGGAAGCAGTTGAACCAACAGCGATTACCTATGTCTCGTAACAGTTGAAACAAGAAATATTAGTAAGCGCGTGAAAATGAACCGCTAAATTTTAGGGGATGTTCCATAGAAATTGCAGAAATACTACAACCGCTTGGTCAATTGGTGCGCGTATCCAATGTTACCAATATTACTGATTATATGTCTAACAGGTGCCTCACGTGCCTCAAAATTAACTACGTGCTTCAAATGTTGATCTCAATATGCCAAGACTTTCAGTGCAGTAAAAAAAATTCAGTTTGTACCTTATCAATCTTGGTTAGCATTGCAGCTGCACAAACGATATTGTTCTGAATTCAAATGTGACTTTCTAGCTTCCAAGTACCTTTTTATCAGTGAAATTAAATGTGCTAGCGTTTGCACGAAAGCGAGTTGCTCAATTTTTCTGGGAAGCTCTATAGAAAAAAGAATATCCGTGCAAATATGAGCAGCCTAGGATTTTCGAGACGGGCTCGAGCAACCGATGCAAAAGAACATCACTGCAAGCCAGAACGATTCAGAAGTTTCAGGAGTCGCCAGGACAATCAATACGCAGGTCAGAGATTAGCGGATACTCTTGAAATTTATCTACGTGCAACTGTTTTCTTGCAAGAAACACAAAGTTTACTGTTGCACGACGTCGCAGAGGTCAGCCCATTGTTTTGTAACAAATTCCTTAGGATAGTGCTTCAGATACACTTCCATAGCATCCGGCATCCACTGTTCTGTATTGCGCATTCCTGAAATGGCGAAGAAAGCTATCCGGTGCAACTTCGGCAGCAAAAAATGAAATAAAAACGATACCGCCGAAATCCAGGGGAGATAGTTCCACGCAGTACAAGAATACAAGTTCGCGCGACAGTGCGGGCGTTTCGTCGGAATGCTACTGCACACCAAGCATAGGAATCTACCAGGGTCTTCGATCCTGGAGTGCATTTTTCCATTTACTACCCCTCCTTCCCTTTCCCCTTCCTCGTTCGATGCATGTGCATCACTTCTTTGAAAAGGTGAGGAGGTGGGAGGGAGGGACAGGGGTGGAAGAGGGAGGGTTCGTTCTTCAAGACATGGGTAAAAAACCAAGAGTAGAAAATGCAAAATTTTACCTCGAAATATACCAGCTCCACGAAAATCGACCCGAGTGCCTGCAGAGAGTAGGATCATACCGTTGACAAGTTGTTTTCCTTGGCCAGCAACATGAACTGCTGTTCGTGCGCCTTCACTCCAGCCCAGCACCACAAATGGTGTCAAATTCAAATGCTAAAGAATACTTCATCATACAGCTTCCAAACTTGAATACAGCCTTAACACATGATTTCAGCATAAGTATTTGATTATGATATCGTCAAAAAGTCAAAACTCCGCCCGTATTCTCTCTTTATAAAAGCGGAGAAACCTGGGAATTAGTCCGAGGGTAATAAATGCCAACAACAAACACACGCCGGTAAGGATGCTTGTGGATGGCTGTTTACTATCATATTTGCCTTCAAGAAGGAACAGGACATTCCGAACAGGAAATTACGAAATATTGAAATCGAACTGCAACAATTTGGAATTTGAGGAAAAAATTTTAAAAGTACTAAACCGAATGATTCTGGATCACCAAAACTGAACATTCTATGCTTTAACATATTAAAGGGATGACGGCGCACCGTTACGAAGAGTGCGAAAGAGCTTCTTCAATTTTCTCTGCATTATATAGATAAACTCAAAAAAGGGGAATGTTTACCTCCATAAGTTTGATACAGAATGAAGCGTCTTTCATGCAACGATTGACTTCTTGCTTTCTGGAAAAGTCAGGGCTTGTATCTTAAAAGCAAATTTGTGATACAATAAAGAGCTTAATTAATGTACATCTGCATTAGCCACTAGTGCATTGGTACAAGAAAGGCCTTAATTTTTATACTATTTAAAATAGCTCGTCCCTTCCTTTTTTTGAAAGAATTTTTCAAGAATTCCGAGATACCAAGAGTGCAGGTACAGTCACTGATGGTATGCCATGTTAGTGATGTTACTGGGATGCTCCCACAGAACACATGCAGTTACGTCAGGTTTTTCGATTCTGAGCTGTAGTCAGCCAATAAATGTGCTTCACCTCTTCGGAAGCCGTCCTAGTGGTTTTGCATTTTTTAGTTGTCCTCACTGTGCTATAAGCTTTTCGGAAACAGATCATGCTAATCCAAGGAGAGTTGGGGCCAGTCATTTCTTAGGAGGAGCTTCCTTTGAATGAGTATTATGGCATTGGCAGTACATAAGCTAGAAGAAAGATGAAAGGATAATCACAAATTTTGCGCATCAACCTATCAGGTGGACGACTGGTACCATAGCCTGGCGGATCGATACAAATGATCGTATAATGCGCAGGACTGAACGCTTTTAACACTCGCTCCGGAAAATCTTTCTTATAGCAGCCTGCAATTTACTACAGCTTTTCAAGGCGAATTATGGCTGACAACAATTAGTGATTTTACAATTGACTTGTTTAATTAACAATTATGTTATTGAAAATCACTCATGGAAGTAATTTTAAATCCAGCTGCAACGGAAAAACTTATGGACCGAAGGTACTTGCAGTTGACCTTTAGTGGCCATACAGATAATTATACACGGTCAGATGAGCAACGTGCAGGATATCACTACACCAGGTTTGGAACTAAAACCTAATGGAACGGATGTGTTGCTCGACTAGATGACAAACGGGAATGCCATCTACTAGTTAGTGGTACCGGGCGAGAAAGCAAATGGTAACTCGGATGAATTTCAAAGAGTGATGCACACACGTCCAAAATTTCTATAAGAAAAAATCTTCGCAACAGACAGGATGATGTATTTGATGGTACTGCCTAGAAGTAGTCCCTTAAAGCCACTGTTCTTATTTGATACATGACTGTCGTTCTGTAAGAAGTAGCGATCTTGTGTAGAGAATATCAACTGGAGTTATTCAACTCAAAGCAAAAAAATCTGGGCATTAAACTCTTCCACAGCACAAATTTTTTCTAAAACTCTAGGGACTGAAATTCGGAGTATATTTTGAAGTAAAATAAAATCTTATACTTTTCAGAAACACAGAAGATAGTGAAGAAAGTCAGAAAAACCCCTGATGCACCTAAGCGGACACGAAAATGCCCGAGGACTTAAGAAAAGTTTAAAAAAATGCAAGAGTTCGAATTCACCGGAATATCAGCTAAGAGATAAAGACATTTGATAAAATCCAGAATATTACCGGAAAAGCTTTATGCGTCTGATAAGGATAAAGCAGAGACGTTATCAGATTGGAGGCAATTGCATCTTTAGCTAAGAAACGCCGTGTTTTCAAATCTCTTTTTTTGCTGCGCTTTACTTTTGCTGGATGATAAAGGTGCTAACCGACACCACCACAGATGAAAAGCATTCTGTATTTTCCTCGACCATATCTACAGTATCCAATCTTATGTTCAGCGATCGTGGTACTCGATTCAATAATTTCATGCTGCTCATCTTTGCCTGTTGTGCTTGCACCATTCATCATTCCTTCGGAATCGATGAGCGTCAC